GAAATCTGGAGAAGTGTCTTAAATTCCCTAATTTGTTTCTAGAAACACATGCCACAAAAGCAATCCCTGTGGACCTAAAACAACACAAATTTTTACTTTTTGTTGTTGTTGTTGGCGAAATGATCCTGCCCTCTCTTAACTAACCCCAGGGGTGGAGTGAAACGTGGTGCAAATTGGTCACTGCAACCTCGCGTTCCTGGGCTCCAAGCAATTCTCCTGCTGTCAACCAAACCTCTGGGATACTGGATTTACAAACGACCATGTTCCCCACATGCCAGCTAAAATTGGTATTTTTAACGTAAAGACCGGGGGTTTCGGGCATGTTGCCAGCCTCCTCGGGGTTCGAACCCTCTCTTGATTTCTTCCTTCTCTCTCTCTCTCCTCTCTTTTTCTCTCTTCGTCTTCATCTTTCCTCCTGTTGTATAGAGAACACGACGCCTTGCTCTGTTGCCGCAGCTGAAGTGCAGTGGTACCATCATCATTTTTCACATGCAGCCCTTGAAATTCCTGGCTCAAGTGATCCTCCTGCCTTTTACTCCCAAGTAAGCTGGGAGTAAACAGGTGCACATCCACCAGGCCAGGCTAAGTTTAAAATTTTTTGTACAGATGATCCAGTAGTTTCCCCCAAACTAGTTTGAATTCCCTGACTCAAGCCATGGCCTCCCACCTGTCGCCCCCAAAAGCCCCCTGATTTAATAGGCTGAAGCCCACCACCCCTGTCCATGTCACCTGCTTTTTCATTTTCAAAGCTGATCCCCTCAGACCTTTCTCCAGGCTTTCCCAATATCTTATCTCATTTAGGCCCCCAGCATTTCTATCTCCCTGCCCAGCATGCTACACTCCAGGCCCCTCAGCCCTCAGCCCTAGTTCCAAGCCTTGGTCCACTGCAGCCCCACCTGGCCAGCAGCTCCTTGGTCTGGTCGGTGAGGATGGCACTATCTGCTTTCACCATGCAAGCCAGAGCAGAGATGACACCCGCCTTCAGAAGCCGCTTCACCCGCATATCTATAAAGTCCTTTTTGTCCTGGGGAGATGAAAAGATGGCAATGTGAGAGGGTCCTGGGTGCTAGGCCAATCCGAATTGGAACCAAAGATGGTGCATTTCTGAATTCTCGGGGTCGGTTGAATAACGGCCTCCAAAGATGTCCATGGCCTAATCTCTGGAACCTGTGAACGTGGGACCTTACATGGTAAAAGGGATTTTGTAGACACAATTAAGTCAAGGGTTTTGAGATGGGGAGGTAAGCCTAGATTTCTATGTGGGCCCAATATAATCACCAGGATCTTTATCAGAGGGAGGCAGGAAAATCAGAGTTAGCACTAGGAGATGTGACAATGGAATGGAAGTGAGGTCGGAGTGGTTCAAGGTCACCAGCCAAAGCATGTAGGTGGCCTCTAGAAGCTGAAAAAGGCAACAAAATGATTCTCCCTTAGAGCCACCCGAAGAAACCAGCTCTGCTAACACCTTGACTTTAGCCGAGTGAGACTCATTTTAGGACTCTTGACCCCCAGAACTATAAGATTTTTAAAACTGGGCCAGGCGCGGTGGCTCATGTCTGTAATCCCAGCACTTTGGGAGGCTGAGGTGGGTGGATCACTTGAGTCCGGGAGTTCGAGACCAGCCTGGGCAACATGGCGAAACCCCGTCTCTACTAAAAATACAAAAATTAGCTGGGCATGGTGGAACATGTCTGTAATCCCAGTCACTCAGGAGGTTGAAGCAGGAGAATTGCTTGAGCCCAGGAAGCGGAGGTTGCAGTGAGCCAAGATTGCACCACTGCACTCCACCTGGGTAACAGAGGGAGACTCAGTCTCCAACAACAACAACAAAAAAGTAAAAATTGTGTTGTTTTAGGTCACAGTGCTTGTGGCAATGTGTTCTAGAAACAATAGGAAATTAAGACACTTCTCCAGATTCCCTCTTCCCAAACAACTGCCAAGGGGTATATAGCACGCTCTGCTGTCGTGTGTCACTGTCTCTCTTCTTCCTTGCCTTCCCTAATCCCAAGACAGAGCCTGAGGAGCTGATACCGTAGAAAACCAGTCCCAAAGGTTCTCTCATTCACAGAGGAATGAAATAAAAGAAGGATAATCCAAAAGACTAAATGATGCATATATTGTTTTTCTTGGAAAAGGCTGGGGTGGGAGGGGAGGTAGAGGGTATAAGCAGGAGAGAAAGGACACAGCGGATGAAGCCACCATAACAATAGATTGGGTTTGCTGGAAACCCAAAGTCAACCCAGGGTTAAAGAGTCCCTACAGACAATCCTCAGAGTGGGGAGTGGTGGGGAAGGGGCTGACAACCCTGGGCAAGCCCTGGAAGCCACCTTGGAACTTCACAGCCACAGCACAGCCTCTGCACCCTTGCCTGGATGAAACATCATTCAGCTTTCAAAAATGATTCAGAGGCCGGGTGCAGTGACTCATGCCTGGACTCCCAGCACTTTAGGAGGCCAAGGTGGGTGGGACACTTGAGGTCAGGAGTTCAAGACCAGCCTGGCCAACATGGTGAAACCCTGTCTCTACTAAAAATACAAAAATTAGCTGGGAGTCGTGGTGCATGCCTGTAATTCCAGCTACTCAGGAGGCTGAGGCAGGATAATCACTTGAACCTGGGAGGCAGAGGTTGCAGTGAGCCTAGATCTCACTACTGCAATCCAGCCTGGGTGACAGAGCCAGACTCTGTCTCAAAAAATAAATACAATAAAAATGATTCAGAGAATGAGATGGCAATGTGGAAAACATTTTTCCAAAATCGAGCACAAAATGATAAATATATTCTGATTGTAACTGTGAAAAGAGAAAAGATACATAGAAAAAAAGCCCCTGGTAGGTAACATAGCGTCAAAATGCCAACAGCAGTCATGTGGAGATGACGTAATCATGAGTGGTTATTCCCTTTTCTCCATTTTAACTCATTTTGCAGCATGATTATATTACTTTGATCGTTAAAAAAAATCTAAATGATTTTATTGGCTGGCTATATCTTGCATATATTCATATGCAAATCACACACAAATCATATCTTCATGTGCAAGGAATTGTTGGCGAGGGGTCCAGGGGATCCGTGACTTCTGGGCTAATGCTGAGCATGCCTCTCCTCTCATGATTCCTACTTAGCACCCATGTCACAAAACCCAGAAATCTGAGAAAATCAAATTGTTATCTGTTGGAGACATGAAATAAAACTGTCTTTAATCCATAAAATCAACAACACAAATTGCAAAGTGTCCATCATAGCTCCGTTTGTTTTCTCAGATTACAAATTGTTGGATTTTTTTCAAAATAGAAAATAAAAACAAAGAAAAAGCATGAGCACCATCTGGTGGGAAAGTTTACCATTAACATCTTCGGTGTATGTGTATCCTACCCCCAACCACTCAGACACACACCACGCTGCTCCTGACACCACTCCTTTTGCCGTTCCGCCTCTTTTGGAGGCCTGGTGGCACAGACCAGATCCCTCCCATGTCGCGCCTGACCCTACCTTGGGGTGCTCCTCGGGCACATGTTGCTTGGAGAACTTGGCGAGCTGGACAAGCTCCGGGATGACCTCCTTGACATCGTAGCTGTTGGTGCAGTTCACCAGGGTGGTGGCCACCGAGTACAGGATGGTCTTGTCACTGGTCTGGAAGGCACAGGGTCGGGGAGAAGGAAAGCAGAAAGGAAACTTTAGGACAAATCTCTGCTTCCAGGATGCTCCCTCACGTGGCCGGCAGGTTGGTGTGGGAGGAGTGCAGCTGGTAGGGCCCATTCTGAGGAAAGACAGCAGTGCAGGAGAGGCTCTGTCCATAAAGGCGGGCAGCAGGGTCTCCTGTACCCTCCAACAGCAGCTCTGGCAGTATGAATAGGAGCTGTCTCACAAAGATCCTCAGTTTGTGCCTGTTCCAAAAGCCCAGTCTAACACTTTCCCATCCAACTGGAGATGGGGCGGAAGCTGAACATTCTCAGGTCCTGGCGAAAATCTCTCCCAAATTTTCTTCCTTTACTGGTAGAAAAGAGCCAGGGAGTTGGCCCGGCAGACAAGGAAAGGAGTCTGGGAGGGTCTCGGAGGGAGGGCAGGTTCCCAGAAAGGTCAGGCACAGCCTTTTTTATTTATTTATTTTCTTGAGGCAAGGTCTCTCTCTCTCTGTCACCCAGGCTGTAGTGCAGAGGTGCAATTCTAGCTCACTGCAGCCTCGACCTCCCAAGGCTCAAGCAATCCTCCCACCTCAGCCTCCCGAGTAGCTGGGATTACAGGTATGTGCCACCACGCCCAGCTAATTTTTTTATTTTTTGTAGAGATGGGGTTTCACCATGTTGCCTAGGCTGGTCCCGAACTCCCCTGAGCTCAGGCCATCCGCCTGCCTAGCCTCCCAAAGTGCTGGGATTACAGGCGTGTGCTACGATGCCCCCCTGCTTTTTTTTTTTTTTTTTTTAGCTGCCTCAGGTCCTTCAAGACCTCACCTCCTGAGGACCCCAGGAAAACAAACTGCCCTCCTGTGCATCTTTCCACTCTGGAAGGCATTAGGAGTCGGGAGCCCATTTTACAGTCAGGTAAAATGAGGGCCAGAAAAGGGGAAATAACCAATCAGGTTTACACAGGGGTAAGGAGTAGAGCCAGGAGGAAGACTGGGATCCAATCCCTGTGGGTCTGGACCCAGCAGACCTCTCCTGAGGTTTGTGGTCAGGCCAGACTCCTCCACACTTGCCTTGGCCAGCTCAAACATGGCCTGCAGGGCAGGGATGTCCTGGACAAAGTCGTCCTTCACATCAGCATCCAGCGTGAGGTAGGCCAGGCCCTCCACTGCCCAGCGCCGGGTCCGGGTGTCTATGGACGTATTGCACAGCCACCTGGAAGTGAGGAGGGAGCACACGTGGGAAGGGGCCCAGGGCTCAGGTCAAGAGGGTGAGGCAATTTCAGGGTGGTGAACCGATGATGAGGGCCCTTTCACACTCCACTGGAGCGCACCCCAGAGACTCCTGCCCGGAAGGCGCGTGAGGAGGTGGAGGGCCTGGGAAACACACCCCCCTTACTTGCGACACTGTTTGGCCAGCTTTTCTGTCGACCCTTCCGCAAACTGCCTGAGACCGTAGTCTGTGCCGCCTGCGGAGCCAAGCTTACAGAGTCCCTGTGGAGGAGAGGAGACAGCAGACGCATGCAGGATCAGAGCACCAAGGCTTGCAGATGAAGCCCTGCTCCAACTGGTTTCTATGGCCAGAACACTTCGCCCCTCTTTCTTTGCTTGGATCCACCTCTGTGCAGACTGTAAAACTCAGCTCAGGTGTCACCTCTGCTGAGATACTTTCCCTGATGCTCTGGGTTAGAGGCCCATCAAGTTGCAAGTTCTTGCCCTCCATTTTGACCCCCACCATTTTGACCCCACAGATGTATTGTGCCTGCCATTTTGAAAAAAACAGCAAGACCAAGTTAACCACATCTGAAGCTTCAATGAGGAACCTTATTATGGCACAGAAACTGGCAGCGAAATTCTATCTTCTGGATAGATAAGATTCAGATGTGCAAAATTCTACCCAGAGAAAATTGGACTTTTCTTAGGGAGGCAATTTCATAAGAGAAAATTCACTTTTGTCAGAAGCTAAAATTTGTTTTTAAAAAATTGATGCTGAGTGCAGTGGCTCACGCCTGTAATCCCAGCACTTTGGGAGGTCAAGGCGGGTGTATCTCTTAGGCCAGGAGTTTGAGACCAGCCTGGCCAACATGGTGAAACCCATCTCTACTAAAAATACAAAAATTAGCCGGTTGTGCTGGCAGGCACCTGTAATCCCAGCTACTTGGGAGACAGAGGCAGGAGAATCATTTGAACCCAGGAGGTGGAGGTTGCAGTGAGCCAAGATCATGCCACTGGACTCCAGCCTGGGTGACAGAGGGAGACTCTGTCTCAAAACATTACAACAATAATAATAATAACTTCAGGCCAGGCACAGTGGCTCACACCTGTAATCCCAGCACTTTGGGAGGCCCGGGGGTTGGATCACCTGAGGTCAGGAGTTCAAGACCAGACTGGCCAACATGGCAAAATCCTGTCTCTACTAAAAATACAAAAATTAGCTGGGTGTGGTGGCACACATCTATAATTCCAACTACTCTGGGGGCTGAGACATGAGAGTCAGTTGAGCCTGGGAGGTGGAGGTTGCAGTGAGCTGAGATTACACCACTACCCTCCAGCCTAGGTGACAGAGTGAGACTTTATCTCAAAAAAGAAAAAAGGTAAAATGAAAGTGGAAAAAAAAATACCTTATAGAAACTGATTAAGGAAACTGACTTTTCAGAATTTGCTCTGAAAATGCATCCTGGACGCAAGCTCATCAGTGTTCGTGTTGTTCGTAAGCAGGGAGACGAACATCCTTAGGGTTAAGCAGCAGAGTTCACCGTTCTGAATCTACAACCTCACAAGCCCCCTGGATATGCCCTATTCTGCAGGGGTCTGTGGCTGGGTCTGGTGCCCACTTGAACCTGGTCTCCCCAAGGACAGCAGCCTCAACTCATTCATTTCGGTGTCACTGGTGCCTGGCATGGCTCCTGGTACCGAGTAGGAGGGTGGTACCGAGCCCACTCACCACCAGTGTGCGGATCTTGATCTTCTCATTTTTGGTGGTCTTGTAGATCTGTTTGAGCAGTGACACTCCATTGGTGATGATGAAAGTGGCACGGCTGAGCTTGGTGGAGGCATGGATGAGGGCCTCCACGGCCACCAGCTGGTCCGTCTCACGCTCTGAGCCACATAGTGCCACCATCATCTCCATCACACCTTTCAGTCCCAGCAGCTGGTTGCCCAGGTCAAAGGGGCCCTGCAGGATCCCTGACACCGTCTGGATGGCATTCAAATTCTTGTCCATGTCCTGGGGGTCAAACTTGCCCCTAAAACAAAGCCAAGGGTGGTCAAGAGAACTGGTCCAAGAGAGTGGAAAGAGTGTGAGATTTGGAGGCAGACGGATTTGGATTTGCACCCTGGCTCCACCACTCATGTGCTGTGTGATACTGGGCAATTCAGCGAACCTCTCTGAGCCTCAGCTCCTGTAAACTGAGGATAGTACTACTAGTTCTCAGAGTTGTGCTGAGGATAAATGACATAACAGATGTGTCACAGGGTGTGCCTCTGGGAAATACACTGTGACTCAGGGATTGGCATGCAGGAAGTTTATTTGCGAGAGCTCTTGGGAAGAGAAGGAAGCAGGACTGGGGCAGAGGGAGGCATTTTGCAGTCACCACAAAGCCTCAGCCTCCAAGAAGTTCTGGAGCTGGAACATCCTTCACAGTTGTTCCAAGTCGGAGTGAGTCTTTTTTTTTTTTAGACTGAGTCTTGCTCTGTTGCTGGAGTACACTGGTGCCATCATAGCTCATTGTGACCTCAAACCCCTAAGCTCAAGCAATCCTCCCACCTCAGCCTCCTGAGCAGTTGGGACTACAGGTGCACACCATCATGCTCAGATAATTGTTTACATTTTTGGTAGAGATGGGATCTTGCTTTGTTGCCCAAGCTGATCTGAAACTCCTGGCCTCAGGTGATCTTTTCACCTGGCCTCCCAAAGCACTGCTATTATAGGTCTGAGTCACCTCAGCTAGCCTGGGGCGAGTCTTTGCGCACTGGCTTCCCTGGAGAGGGTGAAACAGCTCTCCCCAACTGAGGCAAGTCCCAAAGAGAGAGAACAGCTGAGAGCTGTCAGCTGACAGACTTTCCAGCAGCTGCTGTGTCTGGGAAGACAGTACAGCATCGACAACAACACAAAAAGGCCTAGCATGATGACCTTCACACTGTATCTCACTGTGACATGGCCTGGGCCGGTCACTCCCCTCTGGTGATCTGGTCTCAGTCCGTCCCCTGTCAGTGAGCATGTGGGTTAGATATCCAGGAATGTTCTGCCTTGCTTTCGGAATCTATTACCATCTACTCTAGGGGAGAATCTCTGCGTGGGAATGTCAGAGGTGACACGCCTTCTGATGCTTCTCGTCTGCCCAGGTTGGTGCATTGTGGGAAACAGGGCAGATGTGCACAGTGGAAATGCAGCTGTGTATAAATGCAAGAAGGCAGCGTGGACTGGTCAGGAGAACTCCACACTGAGAGTCCAAGACCTGGGCTCTGGTCCCATGTCTGCCTCTGATTGTTGGAGGATCTCGGGCAAGTTCCCCTGGGGAAGAGGAGTCGGCTTTGGAAGCTCTGAGAGACCCTCCAGCTTGAGGGGCTCTCATGTCCTGTGCCTCATCTCTCCACTCAGTGCCCAGGGAACCAGCATCCTTCGTAATTAGTTGGGGTCTGACCTTTGAGCTGGCACTGGGTCCCCACACAGCCCCCGCCCCTGATGAAGTGGGGTGTATTCCACTCTTGCTAGGGGCAGGCTGGAGTACCATTTGATGAAGGCAGTGACCCCTCCTCTCAGCATTCCACAGGCTGACAGGAGGGGGCTTCAATCAACAAGCCCAAATAAGAACTAGCTGGATGACAAGTAATGGAAGTCAACTGGGGACCTCATGAGGGACTCAAGAGGTCACCAGGAAAAGTTGAAACTGAGATAGAGAAAGAGAGAAGCCTTAAGAAGAGATCTGTGAACCAAAGTCAGGGTGAGTAGAAGCCATGGGGTAGAGAAGGAGTTGGCAAATCCAGGGAGTTGAGAATAGCTTTCACATTATTTTATTTTATTTGAGACAGAGTCTCACTCTGTTACCAAGGCTGGAGTGCAGTAGTGCATTCATGGCTCATTGCAGCCTTGACCTCCTGGGCTCAAGTGATCCTCCTACCTTGGTCTCCCAAGTAACTGGAACTACAGGGGTGCACCACCACACTTAGCTAATTTTTAAATTTTTTTTCTTTTTAGAGACGGGGTCTCTACATTGCCCGGGCTGGTCTCGAACTCCTGGCCTCAGGCAACTCTCCCACATCGGCCTCCCAAAGTGCTAGGATTACAGGCATAAGCCACCACACCTGGCCAGCAGCTTTTTGCATTTTTTTTTTTTTCTTTTTAAGATGGAGTTTTGCTCTGTCACCCAGGCTGGAGTGCAGTGGTACGATCTTGGCTCACTACAACCTCCACCTCCTGGGTTCAAGTGATTCTTCTGCCTCGGCCTCCCTAGTAGCTGGGATTACAGGCATGCGCCACCATACCCGGCTAATTTTTGGTATTTTTAGTAGAGATGGGGTTTCACCATGTTGGTCAGGCTGATCTTGAACTTCTGACCTCAGGTGATCCGCATGCTTCGGCCTCCCAAAGTGCTGGGATTAGAGGTGTGAGCCACTGCACCCAGCCAGCTTTTTGCATTTTAAAGGATTTTTAAAAATATGTTGACAGAGACTTTTATGTCCCACAAAGACTAAAATATTTACTCTCTGGCCCTTCATAGAAAAGATTTGTTGACCCCTGGAATATACAAAGGAAAAGCAGGGTAAAGGCAACGTCTTCACCCACCTAAGACTCACCTGGAGTGTTTTTAAGCATGTAGCTTCCTGAGCCACACCCTAAACTACTGAGTCAAGAGGGGATATCTCAGAAATCTGAATAATTTACAAGTCTTGGAATCACTGCAATAAAGAATTAAAAGGTCATCACTGGAGTCACACTGATGCTGGAGCGCCAGTAAGGAGACCCAGGAACTGCAGCTGCTGAGGGCCCTAACCCCTGTCTAACTCTGCAAAGCCACACAATTCTTAGTCTTGAAAGAACCGGGCCTCCCTCCTTGACAATCTGGCATTTGTTCCTTTCAACCACAGAAGCCAGTGGTAGGTTTAAAATATGTCCGTGGCTGGGCAAGGTAGTTGATGCCTGTAATCCCAGTACTTTGGGAGGCTGAGGCAGGAAGATTGCTTGAGCTTTGGAGTTCAAGACCAGCCTGGGAAACACAGTGAAACAAAAAAATACAAAAATTAGCCAGGCATGGTAGTGCACGCTTGTAGTCTCAGCTACTTGGGAGGCTGAGGCCGAGGAAGGAGGATCACTTGAGCCCAAAAGTTTGAGGCTGCAGTGAGCTATGATTGTGTCACTGCACTCCAGCCTGGGGGACAGAGTGAGACCCTGTCTCAACAAATAAATAAAATATGTTCAAAAATATGTTGACACTCCTCCCTGCAAAAAGTGAAACCTAATTTTTTCCCCTTAAATGTAGGCCAAACTTACTGACTTGCTTCTAATGAATAGAATGTGGCGGAAGTGATGACATGTGTCTTCTGAGGCTAGATAGAGAAGACATCTCCCTGCGGCCTTGCTCTCTCTTGGATCTCTTACTGTGGGACAAGCCAGTGGCATGCAGTGAAGACGCTTCAGCAGCCTCTGGAGAGGTCTGCAGTGGGGGGAACCGAGGCCTCCCACCAACAGCCGGCACCAATGTGCCAGCTGTGTAAGTCCATCATCTTGGAAGCATTTTCCAGCCCCCATCAAGCCTTCAGATGGCTGCAGCCCCAGCCAGCACATGACTGTAACTTCATGAAAGATCATAAGCCAGAGCCACCCAGCCAAACCACTCCCAAATTTCGGTTCTGGTGTGAGATAAAAAAAATTATTGTTTTTAGCTGCTAAATTTTGAGATAATTTGTTACACAGCCATAGATAACTAAGACAGAGCCTGACCCTGTGAGGCCTCCAGGAAACTTACGTGATGTATTCCTCGCAGATCTTGCGGAAGTGATCGCGCTCCGGGTCACAGCGCAGGTCATCGTAGAGCTTGTTGATGAGGATAGAGGCCAGCATGCGGGTGTTGTCAGTCAGGGGCAGGCAGGATGGCAGATCTGGAACCTGCCCCACGACCTTCAGGATCTTCCTCAGACCTGGAGGGCAGACAGTGGCAAGCCTAAGATTCCTGCTGGGCTCTATCCTCACAAACACCCCTCACTCAGTGACGTGTTATCACCAGCTTCTCTCCAGCCCTGTCTGTAGAACACATGTAGTTCATCCAGAATGAAGGGACCTAGAATGGGGTCAAGGGACCCAGGTTCTACACCTGACACTGCCCCCACCTTGACCAATTCACCTCCCTCTAGGGGCCTCTATTTTCATATGTACAAAATCAGGACTAGTTGATCTCAGGGAACTCTACCAATGCTGACATTCCACAGGTTGATGTATAGACTTCTCCAAATACTATTTCATATTCTCTTCCTCAAGGCTCAGCTTCTTCATTTATAAAATGAGAACAATACTACCTACCTCATAAAGTTTGAGGGCTCAATGAGATAACGTATGGAAACCCTGCTGTCAATCCAGACACATCACTATCACTCAATAAATGTTCATTATTGAGTGTGTAATTATTATGTATTTAGTAAATGCCATATTTACATTTATTACGATGATGTCTTCTCATCTCTTCTGTTGAAAAATCTTCAATGGCTTCCTATTACCATCGGGCAAATTCAACAGTCATGTCTTTGTTGAATAAATGAGCACCTTTGGGGTACTGGCTACCAAAATAAACGATACGATTCTGACCTCCAAAAGCTCACAATACAATAGGGAAAACTGACATATGAAGATTACAATGAGATGTGATAAGTATAGAAGGGTAGCACTGAAAATGGGGTCATTCACTTCAACAAAATAATACCTGCAATTTATTCTGAGCACTTATTACATGCCAAGAGCTTTATACACATTAACTTCATCTAATCCTAACAATACCCCTACTGGTTAGATATAATTATTCCCATCTTTCAGAGAAGAAAAACAGGCCTTAGAGAAGTCAAGTAAGTTGCCCAGTGACATAGCAAGGACACACTCCCAATCACGTCTGATTTCAAAGCCTGTGATGTAAGCCGTCACACTATATTGCCTCTGGGGCAACAGACAGGTGGATTTCAGAGCCAGGTTTTAGAGGTGGCTTGGGGCTGGTCAGACCTTGGGTAGTACAAGGAAGTGGGAGGAAGAACATTCTGGGTAAAAGCTGGGAGGCATGTAACTCTAGATGTTAGGAGGGAATTAAAAGTGCCTGGAACCAGCCTGGCCAACATGGCAAAACCCCGCCTCTACTAAAAATAAAAAAAAATTCGCTGGGCGCAGTGGCGGGTGCCTGTAGTCCCAGCTACTTGGGAGGCTGAGGCAGGAGAATCGCTTGAATTCGGGAGGTGGAGGTTGCAGTGAGCCAAGATCACGCCATTGCACTCCAGCCTGGGCAACAAGGGCAAAACTCCGTCTCAAAAAAAAAAAAAAAAAAAGTGCCTGGAAGTGGCTTAGTGGCTCATGCCTATAATTCCAGCACTTTGGTTAGGTCGAGGTGGGAGGATCACTTGAGCCCAGGAGTTTGAGACCAGCCCGGGCAACATAGCCCATCTCCACACATGAAAGAAAAAGAAAAAGAAAGTGCCTGGCAGTAAATTTTGTGCAATCTACATTTCACCACTTAAAGGAAAACTTCTGTTTCCTCCCTAAACTGCTTCTACTCTCAGAGCTTACTTCTGACACCAGATGGGTATCCTGCAATTCAACTCTGACACTATCTATTTGGGGTTAGCACAGACCCCACAGGTTAAGGGCTCAGTCCCACAAGACTACCCTCCTTCAGATGCCAGCAGTCCCAGTTGCCACCTGTGCTTCTGACTGGCCAAGTATAAATCAGAGATTCCCATGACCCTCTCCCTCGGGTTTGATAATTTGCTAGAATGGCTCACAGAACTCAGAAAACCAGTTTAGTTACTTGATTACCAATTTATTATTTAAAAAACAACAACAAAAACAAAAACTCAGGAACAGTCAGATGGAAGAGATGCAGAGAGCAAGGTATTGGCAAGGGGCATGGCGCTTCCATGCCCTCTCCAGGTAGCCACCTCACCAGCACCTCCATGGGTTCACCAACTTGGGAGCACTTTAAGCCCCTTTGGTTAGGGATTTTTTTAAAACAGGCTTCATTATGTAGGCACGGTTGATTAAATCATCGGTTATTAGTGATGAATCCCACCTCCAGCCCCTCTCCCCTCCCTGGAGGTAAAGGGTAAGGGGCTGAAAGTTCCAATCTTGTGATTGCATGGTTGTTTCCCCTGGCAACTGGCCCCCATTCTGACACTCTGAGGTTACCTAGGGGATTCCAGCCACCAGTTATTACATGAGCAAACAAAAAGATACTTATCACTTCAGAGGTTAGCTGTGTGCCAGGAAACAGCAGCAGAGACCAAATATGTATATTTCTTATTATGTCACAACCACACATTTAAAAAGTGCTCAACAGGGCTGGGGAGTAACAGGAAGTGCCTGATGAGCCAACCCAGAGTCCCCAGCCTGGGTCCCAAAAGCCTCCCTCAAATGCACCTCTCCAATCCCATCTCCCACTCTCCCCTTCCATTCTTGCCCACGCCTTGAGCATCTCGTTTCTCTTCTGTTCAAACACTCCAGACCTTCTTCCTGTTAATCTTTGCCCCTTCCCCCACCCAAAAGCTCACTTCAGGTTTGACATCCTGACGGCTCCTTTACCTTGTCTCCCAGCCTAGTTTGCACAACACGTAACACCTTAACATTGCAGCTTTGTATCTGAATATTGGAATTTTTAAATCCACATTATTTTTACCCAAGTGCTATCCATGTTGGTGCCCTTTGCAAAAAGAACAGAATAAAAAATAGTGCTCTCCACCTGTCCCAACCCGTAACACGTGGATGAGCCTAGATCCTGGTGCAGAGAGAGAAGGTCTGTTGTTAACGCTCACGTTTCATGATACATGCGGAGAAGACCAGAATGAGGCAGGGAGGAAGTGGGGTTTGGCGTTTAGCAGTAGAGTAATGTGCTGAAGCATAAGCACTTGCACATGTACTTTGTTGAGGTCTGTAAAAACCAAACAAGGGAAGTGCAATATCAAAAGATATTTTTTAAGCTGGGAAAAGCTGATCTGAGTCTTTTAGAACAAGGGATAGTCTGTGTGTCATAAAATCTTTGGAAGAATTTACCATAGCAGATCATAAAACCACAGGTATGATTCCTTAACAATCAAAGAAGTTGACTGAGGAGAGGGGTAACATCTCGGAGCTGACAAATTGAGTGACTGCCAGAACATGTGAAAGGAAAATAAAATCTTGGCCTGGTGCCGTGGTTCGTGCCTGTAATTCCAGCACTTTGGGAGGCCAAGGCAGGAGGATCATTTGAATCCAGGAGTCTGGGACCAGCCTGGGCAACATAGCAAAACCACATCTCCACAAAACATAAAAAAAATTAGCCGGGCATGATGGTGTGTGCCTGTGGTCCCAGCTACTCGGGAGGCTGAGGGGGAGGAAGATCGCTGCAGCCCAGGAATTTGAGGTTGCAGTGACTATGATCACGCCACTGCACTCTAGCCTGAGCAACAGAGTGAGACCTTATCTCTAAAAAACTAAATAAAAATAAATTTAAAAACTAAAATAAAATCTTAGGATCCCCCCCCCCAATTCCCTAAACCAAAGGAAAAAAAAATTAAGCTGAAAGCTGAGTCATGCAAGAAACTGCCTTTCCTTTTATTCCTAAGCAGGTAGCTACAGATAAAAAATTAAATATCTCCACAGGTTTAGTAAATTAGTGCTTAAATATGTCCACTCTATGTTCACCTTATCTTGTGTAAAGTGGTCATTTACTGAGCAGGAGACAAATATGTAATTGACTATTTCCCTGCCTCCTCCTTTCTCTTCCAACGTGTGCATTCATATAATGTGAACGTACCCTTCCTCTTTCCCCTCCAGGCTGCTTTTCCCCTTGAAATATTGAAGCCCTTAAAATCATCTTTGGAGAAAGGCTGAGACCACAGATTGTTTCTGTGATTCTGTGTTTCCTCTCTGCGGGGCATGTCTGTAACCTTGGCAAAATAAACTTCTAAATTGATTGAGAACTGTCTCAGATACTTTTGGGTTTACAAACATTCTCACTGTGCTTTATGTAAAGTATACTTGATACAATTTCCTCCCTTTTGAAAGGCCTGTGAAGTATTTTACCAACCATGAGACTTCCGGAATTTTACCCTGCGGTTGGTGGAGTCCTTGTCCCCATTTGCTAGGTAGCTCCACCCACACGTTTTGGGGATGTGTTTGGGCACTTCCTGGGCGTGTTCCGGCTCTGAATTCAGAGCCTTGACCTGCACCTTCACAGGCCCACTGGTGATCCTGATGTGCCAACGCCTTTTCACACCTTTTCAGTTAGGACTGAAGACCCCTTCAAGAGCCTCACATCTTCCATTTTCTGTTTAGTGCCCTGGTGCCCACTTAAAAGGCTTGAGCAAGCCCCAAACCCTCCCCTCTTCTCACCGTTATCCACCACATAGATGGTGCGTGAGTTGTCGTGAATGGCAAGGTCCTTCCTGGGGACATTCTTATTGAGCAGGTTCAGCGCCTGATCCCTGCCCTGGCCAGATACCTTCTTGCTGACTAGCATGTCCAGCAGGTGGCTGGTGATCTGCTTCAGGTCCTTCTTGGTGTCTGAAAACAAGAGGACAGGGGTAAGTAGAAAGGGGTAGGAAATCTCACATATATATGACCAGGAAGGGCAGCAGCTTCTAGACTCTGGAAATACTGAATCCACTACTTCCTGAATATGTGAATTCCCAGGAGAGTATAGTATTGCCCATCTCACCCGAAAAAAGGGAGAGAAATCCCTAGACAACACCCGCAAGCGGTCCTCCAGCCACCCTGAACACTGACTTCTACAACAGCTCATTCCATCCTTGAGCAGTTTGGATTCTTAGAAAGTTCTTCACTCCTAGCAGTGAGCAGCAGAGCTCCAGGGATGCTTTATGTGGTTTTTAATAAACTGATTTAATAAAATGCTTTTCAGAAAGGGAATTTATACTCTTTAGAGACATTTCACTCCCCACAGATTCAGGCATGCTGGGTGCCTGACTTCAAGCTTTTGCCTGTGACGCCAGGACTTCCTGCCCACTGGTAGATCTTAAAAGACAAATGCCTTTTTCTGATTTTGCCCTCCCTGAGACTTAGAGATTTTTGTTCTCATCCTAGGATGGAGCCCAAAGGCAGGCAAACTGAAAAGCAAAGCTCTCCAAACCACGTCAGATAAATAACTGATGAAGGAATACAGCTCCATCTCCTAAAGAAGGAAAGATGTAAGTCGATGTGACAGCTCATCTTCAGACAAAGGCAAGTCATGAGAGTGAGATAATAGACTCCTTCCGTGAGACTCCAGAGGGCAGGCTTTGGGTCAGAGGCAGATGGAAGCTAGAAGGGGATAGAGTGGAAATCAGTATGTGGAAGAATTTTGTAGCAGAGATGCTCAACCCAAGGAAGTCATGGAAGATTGTGAATTGGTGTCTCCCTGGGAAACACGACCCTCAGTATAAATGCTCTTGGGTAATCTCCTCCCACACTGGCCTTGGGCTGCTTACGTGACCTGTGGCATAACCAGAGACTTACATGGCACTTGCACGTTGGCTTGTCCATTTAGAATCCAGCCACCATGTTCTATAGAAACCCAAGCTGGCCACTAGCAAGGCCACAAGGTCAACATTTCCAGTTAACTGCCAGCCACACAAGCAGGGCCATCTTGGATCTTCCAAAAATTCTAGCTCAGAAAAGGAAAGTGACTAGTTGACCATTATAATAATAGTAAGTCAGAGTCACATCTAGAATCCGGGACTTCAGGGCTGGATGCAGTGACCTGTAATCCCAACATTTTGGGAGGCCACAGCAGGAAGATCACTTGAGGTCAGGGGTTTGAGACCAGCCTGGGCAAGAAAGTGAGACCCTGTCTCTATGAAAAATTTAAAAATTAGCCAGGCGTGGTGGCATGAGCCTGTAGTCCTAGTGACTCCAGAAGCTGAGGTGGGAGGATTGAGCTCAGAGGTTTGAGGCTGCAGTGAGCTGTGACTGCATTACTACTGTCTAGCCTGAGTGATAGACAAGACTCTGTCTAACAAAAAAAAAGAAAAAGAAAAAGAAAAAGAAAAAAGCCTCTTATAAACAAATAAGAAAAACATTAAAAAATAGATAACAACATGAACAAACCATCCAAAGATAAAGGAATCCAAATGGCTAACAAAGATACAGAAAAATGATCAATCTCATGAGTACTTTATTTTGAATCAAACAAGATAATTTTAATCTACATCCAAGGCAGATATCCTTAAGAAGGATAGCATTCAAATCTGATGAGAATGTGTTGAAATGCGGACTGTCATCATTGCTTGGTGAGAGTATAAATTGATGCAGCCTCTCAGAAAGAAATTAGAGAGCCAGATATAGAAAGAACATTAGTTATGCTCCATTTCTAGGAATTTGACCTCAGGAAATAATTATAAATGTGGCTAGGCATGGTAGTTCATGCCTGTAATCCCAGTACTTTGGGAGGCAGAGGCGGGCAGATCACCTGAACTTAGGAGTTTGAGACCAGCCAGGACAACATGGCGAAACTCCATCTCTACTAAAAATACAAAAATTAGCCAGGCATGGTAGTGTGCTCCTGTAAGCCCAGTTACTCGGGAGGCTGAGGCAGGAGAATTGCTTAAACCTGGGAGGTGGAGGTTGCAATGAGCCGAGATCATGCCACTGCACTCCAGCCTGGGCAACAGAGCAAGACTCTGTCTCAAAAATAATAATAAATAAATAAATAAATAAATAAATAAATAAATATTATAAATGCAAGCACAGATGAAAAATGGCTCCTGGAGAGTTTTGTATAAACATGCAAATTGGAAATAATTGAAATCTCCAATAATATAGAGCTGATTGATGAATTATCCATACAAGGGAAGATTATGATGTTCTTGAAAATAAAGTTTTCTGAGTGAACCTTCCTCTTTGACCTTCCTGGCCAGAGCAACATTTTCTAAGTTGATGCCTAGGATGTGCAGGGAGAAGCATGAGTCTGTATATGCATATGCAGGAAACAAATGTAAAATTAATTATTAAAATCAAAGGAATCCTTTTTAAGAATATTAAATGGTATGCAATATTAATATAATGCTCAATGAAGAAAAGAACATGCAACTATTCATAGCAGAATTCCAATTTTGTTAGATATTGATATGGATGGTTTAAAAAAAAATGACAGGAAAGATACATGTGGTAATGGTAATAGTGATTATCTGAATGGGTAATTATAGGCATTTATTCTCATTTTTACATAGTTCTATATTTTCCCAAATGTCTTCAATAAGTCTCTGTTACTTTTTCTAAGTTGTGGTAAAATTTACATAACATAAAATTACCACCGTAACAATTTTTAAGTGTACAGTTCAATGGCATTAAGTATATTCATACCATTGTGCAAACACCGCAATCTATTCACAGAATTATTTTCATCTTGCAAAACTGAAACTCCATCCCCATTAGACAATAACTCCCCATTTCTCCTCCTCCAACCCCTGCCAAACACTGTTCTACTTTCTATCTCCATGAATTTGACTACTCAAGTATCTCATATGAGTGGATCCATGCAGTATTTGTCCTTTTGTGGCTGGCTTATTTCACTAGTATAACGTCCTCAATGTTCATAGACATTGTAGCATGTGTCAAATTTTCCTGTCTTTTTAAGACTAATACTCCATTGTATGTATATACCATATTTTTCTCATCCAGTAGCCTGCCAATGGACACTCGAGTTGTATCCATCTTTTAGCTATTGTGAATACTGCAGCTATGCCTGTTGCTTTTACAATCAGAAAATACATATGACAGGCCGGGTGCAGTGGCTCATGCCTGTAATCTCAGCACTTTGGGAGGCCAAGGTGGACAGATCACCTGAGGTCAGGAGTTTGAGACCAGCCTGGCGAACATGATGAAACCCTGTCTCTACTAAAAATACAAAAATTAGGCGGGCATGGTGGTGTGTGCCTGTAGTACCAGATACTCAGGAGGCTGAGGCAGGAGAGATGCTTGAACCCAGGAGGCGGAGGTTGCAATGAGTCTAGATCACCCCACTGCGCTCCAGCCTGGGTGACAGAGTAAGATTCTATCTCAAAAAAGGAAAAGAAAAGACATAAAACCAAGCCATCCCCACATACAGGGAATGCCCAGTCTGAGGTGGCAACTGACTCTTTCTTTCCCCATCCCCTTGAACTAAAATTGAAGAGTATTTCCTACCTAGAACCAGGGCCTCCTCCTTCCCTCGATGCTCCCGCTTGTCCTCCCCAGACAGGGAGTCAATGATGGCTTGGAGCAGATTGCAGACAGCCAGAGACATCTCCTCATTCTCCACCGCCATGAGGCTACAGATTCGGTCTATCCGCACTGCATGCAGAATCACTGTGGCCTAGAACCCCAGCAAGAACCATGGTCAGCTGCTTTGCCCTTCCATTCCAGCTGCCATGCAGGTTAGAGAGGGTGTGATAATCCTCCCCACCCCATCCCCTGCAGTAGAGAAATCAGCCCAGGCAGCCATTGCCTCATGGGGCTCCCTGGTCCTGGAAACCTCTTGACACAAGCCATGCCCGTCTCCAGAGGTCAGAGCTGTGCCATCCAATACAGTGGCCACTGGCCACATGGGGCGGTTGAGCTCTTGCACTGTGGCAAGACCATATGGAGATGTGCTGTAGTGTAAAATACACACTGGGTTTCAAAGACCTAGCATGAGAAAATATAAAGTATCATAGCCTTTGCATTCACCACTTCTGCATTAAGCACTTTCAATAACTTGTCTTTGCTTAGTCAAACCCATTTCTAACTCAAAGGGAAAAAGAGACTGGAACACTCTTTGACTTTTTATGAGGTTCCATTGATGCCGGCCACAGCCCTGACCATGTATCGCCCTCCAGATCCTTGGACCAGCAGCCATCTTCTCCACATGCCCTACAGCCAGGGGCTCACCCTGGCTCGGTGGCCGCTGCACATGCCCGACAGGGTCCGCACTGCAGCCAGCACCAGCTCAGGCTTCTTAGTGTCCAGAAGCTGCAGTAGTAAGGCTACCCCATTGTTCTGGAAGATCTTCTCAGCTCCTGCTTCCTCACGGCCTAGGACAATGAGATTGTTGGCAGCCTGAAGGAGGAAGAGGTAATGAGGGTTACGAGGGAGGTATGGCCACCCAGGCCTGTACCGTGGGCCAAGTACAAGAGCCAGTGCAAAGACTGGATCTTCAGAACATTGTTCTGTTATCTCACCTTGTAATCCCCCTCCTGGAAACACAGCCCAAGAACATAATTCAAGAAAAAAAGCCAAGTAACTTGCATCAAGACCAACTGGATGAAATATATGGCAGTCATTAAAGTCATGAATAAAAAGACTAAGAGCAATGGAAAAAGCACTGGTATGCAGAATCAGAATCATATGTTTACTCCAATTGCACTTATGCTAAAATAAAGATGTGTATAATGCTTATAGAGAAGGACTAGAAAAAAGGTGGAGAAATGTAGTGTTTTTACACGGAGAATCATGTCCTTAAACATTTTGTTGATTTTCCTGTTCAGAGGAATCTGAAGTTCCCAGGAAGTGAGCAGCAAAAACACTAGATGAGACCTGAAAACCCTGGGTTTGAGTTCTGATTCTGCTCCCTGGTAGCTGTATGAGCTCAGGTGAGTCACGGCACTTCTCTGGACCCCAGACTCCTCATCTGTAAATTTCAGCAGTTGAGCAAGCAGGTTCCCAAGTCTCTTCCCACCGAAAGCCTTCCAACTTAAGGATGCACGAACCTTAAAAGGCTCCAGGTCTCAAGCAGGACCTGAGAACCCAGGGCTGAGAAACACAGGAGGTAGAAGAAGGTGAGGAGGTGGGCAAAGAGATGTTGAGTTGGGTGCTGGGGAGAGGGCTTAATAGAGAATTTCAGGCAAGCATGCCCAGAACCATCAATATCAGCTAAGGGCTTTGCACTTAAAGAAACAAACAAACAAACAAACAAAAAACTTGTTTTATCTGTAACAACTCATTACGTTCTCACAAGAGTTTGTTAGGAAAGATATTTGCCTAGTTTATGGATTTATTGACCATAAAACTAACAAAAATTCCATGGACATTGTTTCTCAAGTTCTTACAGATGTAAAACACTCAAATGTTCAATTTTTTTCCTTTGCAGAAGCACTAGAAGGGAACATAAAAAAAAAACAAGGTAACAAGTTTGGTTAAGAGGATGATTATGTCTGTAAATATTTAAATTTTTCAGAAAGACTTCTTTACAATATTTTTTAATAAAATAAAACATGATTTTAACGGGCTGTTCTTTCTTAGGGCTGAAGTTACAGTGAGGCAAATGAGGTACTTGCCTTGGGTGCAAAATTTAAAGGGACACCAAAGAACTCAATAATCAAATAATAATCAATGCTATATTTTTAAAAATCAAAATCAATGCCAAAAAAATCCACGATGAACAAAACATCAAAATTTCAAATAAAGACAGGATCCAACCCTGCTGCATGACCGTCCTCACTGGATTCACCCAAATCTCAGTCTGTCTTACGGTTTACACTGTGTTCCAATGTGATTAACCTTTGGCCAATTTTCCTTCCTGGGCTGCAAAGACAGGCCTCTGGTCCCCCTTCCCCCTCAGAATGATGTCACTGTCCAGACTAGCGGGTCCTTCTGCTGGCTGGATGATATTGGCCAGCACTTACCTTTTCCCGCTTGTCAGCCTCACTGTTTTCGTCCAAGAGGATTTCAAACATCTTCTGTACCCTCAAGTCTGTGGAGAACTGCACTCGGAGCTGAGGAGAGAGGAAGGAGTAGGGAAGGAGGCAGGTGGGGTCCACGTCATTTCAGCTCCACATTCAGTTCATCTCAGTAAATATCAGGGCGTCTACTCTGGGCTCTCACACATACATTCATTCATGTATTCATTCGACAAACACTTACCGGATAACTACGATGAATGAATAAATACAGTCGAATTGTGGACAAAATCAAGTCCTTGCCCCTGAAGGCTTACCATCTGGTTACATTCGTTATCCCACCGAGACATCGCAACAGTCTGGGAAGGCCTAAAGGGTCTTCAGCCCAGTTTTAGAGTATAGTAAACCATTTGCTATTAGACATTTAAATAGGGATAAAACAGAAATATGTCTCCATGCTCAGAATCCTGAAGCAGCTTTCTTTCTTTTCTTTTTAACACACCTGAAGTGTAGATGAAGCAGCTTTCAAGCTCTGTTTCAGGCAAATCGAACTCATTTTGTTGGGATATCTAGTCGCTCGCAGTCCCCAGTCCAACCCCACTGCTCTGGGTGTTTCATAAAGTGACCGAACTGATCAACATCCTCCACCTCGCCAGCCTGTTTTGAACCTCCTGCTACTTTGTTCTGGGGGTCCACAGTACTCCCACCTACTTCTGAGCTCATTTTCTAATTTTTTTTTTTTTAATATGGAGTCTCACTCTGTCACCCAGGCTGGAGTGCAATGGCACGATCTCGGCTCACTGTAACCTCTGCCTCCCAGGTTCAAGTGATTCTCCTGTCTCAGCCTCCTGAGTAGTTGAAATTACAGGCATGTGCCACCATGTCCAGCTAATTTTTATATTTTTAATAGAGACGGGGTTTCACCATGCTGGCCAGGCTGGTTTCGAACTCCTGATGCCAAGTGATTCACCCACCTTGGCCTCCCAAAGTGTTGGGGTTACAGGCGTGAGCTACCCCACCCAGCCTATTTTTAATTTATTTTTAATTTTTGATAGGAACAGCATCTCTCCCTGTGTTGCCCAGGCTGGTCTCCAACTCCTGGGCTCAAGTGATCCTCCCACCTTGGCCTCCCAAAGTGCTGGGATTATAGGCGTGAGCCACCGCATCCAGCCCTGTGCTCATTTCCTTTGGGGATGCAGAGAGGTCTTTCCTTCGGCTATCCTTCTCTGAATCTCTCCTTAGTTTGTATTTCCTCAGTCCTTGAGTCTGCACCCTGGATAGCATGCTGTGGTCCTACCACAGGGCTTCACCAGATGTGTAGAAGTTACTGAGTCTTGGAGCAAGGGGCTGAGTGATCGATTACCTTACCATTCTTACAGAGAGGAAACCAACACCCCAACAGATGCCCCACAAAACTAGCAGCTGAGCCAGGACTAGAGTTCAGGATTTCTCACCTCTTGTCCAGGTTCTCCCTACCCTACTCCATTTCCTAAAAAATATTTTATGCTCCTGGCTCACATTGTAATCCCAGCACTTTGGGAGGCTGAGGTGGGTGGATCACATAAGGCCAGGAGTTCGAGACCAGTCTGGCCAACATAGTGAAACCCCATCTCTATCAAAAACACAAAAATTAGCCAGGTGTGGTGGTGCACATCTGTAATTCCAGGTACTCGGGAGGCTGAAGCACAAGAATTGCTTAAACCCAGGAGGCAGAGGTTGGAGTGAGCAGTTGAGATCATGGGCCACTGTACTCCAGCCTGGGCAACAAAGTGACAGTCTGTCTCCAAAAAAACAATCACGCTCCTAATGGGGCCTGGCTCTCCTCTATCCCTCATCGATGTCCTCAGTTCCCAGGTATTTTATAATATAATATCTCTTTAGAAAGAGAGATAGATCATGTTGCAGACATACTAAGTTATAATAATATTTCTAAGTCTCCATCTGGAATTTTTGTGTGTAGGGGGTGGTGGGTGTGAGGGACGGAGTCTCTCTCTGCCGCCCAGGCTGAAGTGCAATGGCACATGACCTCAGCTCACTGCAACCTCCGCTCCCCATGTTCAAGCAATTATCCTGCCTCAGCCTCTTGAGTAGCTGGGGTTACAGGCACCCCCACCCAGACGGCTATTTTTTGTATTTTTAGTAGAGACGGGTTTCGCCATGTTGTCCAGGCTGGTCTCAAACTACCTGACCTCAGGTGATCTGCCCGCCTTGGCCTCCCAAAGTGTTGGGATTATAGGCATGAGCCACTGCACCAGGCCCCACCTGGAATTTAAAAGACCTGTGTTCTAGCCTTGGTTGGCTTGTGCCCTCAAACAGGCATCACAGATAGAAGCACCTGCTTAGCTGTTCTGTGCAGCCTGCCCATGCCACTTGCTGTCTCTATCTCAGAGTGTGGAGGTAGGGCTAGCCCTGCCCTGATGACCCACCTCCCTAACCCATTCCTACTAGGAATGAAGAGAGGGACTGGGCAGCCAAGGGTTGTGGGAAGAGGCCCAGCTCACCTTCTCCTGAATGCTGGTGTTGAGTCTCCTCAGCGTCTCCTGGAAGTTCTGGTTCCGCGGCTCGAGGGTGGCACAACGCTGCACGTCCTTGAAGGCCTGGTCCAGCTTCCCCAGGTGCTCCAGTGCCTGGCATCGCCGATACAGAGCCTTGATGTCCGAGGAGTTGATGTCAATGGCTATCGAGGGGAGACGGAGGATGAGGGCCTTAGGGAGCCAGACTATAGACCACCAACCCCACTGCCCCAACCCCAGGAAGCATGCTCTTGCTGGGCTTCTGTGTCTTCCTTGGAGATTAACCCATGTGGACTCTCTGGCCCATACCTCCCCTTTGTTAGACAGTAAGAGCCACAGAGTTTCAAGGTGGGAAGAGAGCTTGAGGGTCATGTCATCCAATTCCTAATGCTCCAGTCTCTGCTACAGGATCCCTGCCAGGGGCTTAACCAATCGGTGCTTGCATACCTCCAGCAATGGAGAGCTCCCTCCTTCTCAAGACGCGCAGGCAGGCCTGGTGCAGTGACTCACGCCTGTAATGCCAACAGTTTGGGAGGCCAAGGTGGGCAGATCATGAGGTCAGGAGTTCCAGACCAGCCTGGCCAACATGGTGAAACTTTGTCTCTACTAAAAATACAAAAAGTAGCCAGGCGTGGTGGCAGGCACCTGTAATCCCAGCTACTTGGGAGGCTGAGACAGGAGAATTGCTTGAACCTGGGAGGCAGAGGTTTCAGTGAGCTGAGATCGTACCATTGCACTGTAGTCTGGGCAACAGAACAAGGCTCCATCTCAAAAAAAAAAAAAAAGAAAAAGACAGCCAGGCAGCTTAATCAGAAAACCTTGCCCTCTCCACACCTGAAATGCATTCCCTGTAACATTGCCCAGCCCTGGAGCCCCTGAGATGAAATCCAATCCTTCTTCCTTGTGACAGCCTTTTAGGAATTTGAAGGCAGCTCTGTCCCACCTGGGAGTTGCCTTTTCTGGGCTAAATATTGCAGCTTCCCTGAACTGCTCTTCAGAGGATATGTTTCCAGTCCCTTTTCCAGCTTGTTCTCTCCCTTCTGAAGTCACTCCATACTCACTGTTTCTTCCCCCAAAATGGTAACTAGATTAAAACCCAGGCCATGCAGAGGAGAATGTGACAGGGCAAGCTTGGGGGTGGGAGGGACTCACCTCTGGAGGCATCTGAAGCTGCCTGGACATAGCTCTCCTGAGGAAAGGGGAAGGAGGAGGAGACTTGGTTAATGTGGGCCCAATGCAGAGATGGCCAGAGAGTGTCCCCACTGTGAGTGGAGAGGGTTTGCTGGGGGAGCTGCAGGCTGTCAGAGGCCCAGGGCATGCTCCTCGTAGGCATGGCAAAGAGGACAGGCTTTGACATCAGGCAAACCCAGGTTTGAATCTCGGCTCTGCTACTACTTGGGATAGCTTGAGCAAGTTAATGAAGCCCTCTGGATCCGAGTTTCTCATCTGCAATAGCGGGAGGACAACAACAGCTATCTCATAGCCATTAGTAAGATGCCATGAATAACATATGAAAGCACCTGGCGTTGGGCTGATTCTGCTCTGGATGAATTTCTGTCTTTCCAGGGCATGGGTCAGGGGAGACACCCTTCTCTAACCCCAGGCACCCAGCGGAGCCAGCTGTGATGAAGGGCAATTCCTATCAGGGTGAAGGGGCTGCCATTCAGCCCCAAGGCCCCTCTGCCTCACTCCCGCCCTGTGCCCTGCCCTGCCCTGCCCCAGACCGTTTTCAGACCACAGGCTGCCCGGTTCCGATAAAGTATGGCCAGCAGGGCCTTGTCCTTGGTCAGCTTCAGGGCCTGGCTGTAGCTCTTTGTGGCGGCCTTGTAGTCCTGGAGCTGGAAATGCCGGTTCCCTTCCTCCTTCAGCTGTACCGCTTCCACCTCTGCCATCTGCCGGGACAAGAGCAGCTCTGTCTGGTCAGCCCCTTACTCCAGACCCAGGGCTGGGCTCCTGGTCTGAGGTCCGGAGCTCCAGGGTCCCCTCACACCAGAGAGGATAGTGGGGATTCTGCCTGGAAGGGATCCACCCCCAGAACCCCCAAATCGATTGCCCCATGAGGACATTAAAGCATCTGCTCAGAGCTTGGCCCAAGTTGAGAGTCCCTGTGCCTCACTCTGTCCCTCCCAGCCTGAGCAGGTGAAGCCACTCAGTTGGTGCCAAAGGCCTGAACTCTCAGCGCAGGTCTTAGAAGTCCGCCGTCTCCCTCCCCAGTCCAAGGCACACCCCAGGCCCCTGCTCACTTTCTCAGCGAGGACAATGCTTTCGATCTGCCCTCCTGTGATGCTGCTCCCCTGAGCACTCCTGCGTCAACCTCCAGCCAGCCAGCCTCAGTATGCCCCTCCCAGCCCCCACCCAAGAGATTTTCTTGCCTCAGCCAGTGGCTCTGGACCATATTTGGCCACAGGGGCAGGTGCCCCTGGAGTCTGTCACTGATACTCAGGGCCCTCCCCCTCCCCAGACTGGTCAGTCATGACCACGTGGAGGTGCTGACCAGCCTATACCCAAGCACCCCACTCTGGGGTATCCTGGGGGGGGCTCAGGCACTTGCACCCAAAAAAGTGACAGAAAGATCCAGAAGGGACAGGAACCCCCCAGCAGACTCCCTCCCTGGGCACAGCTCTAAAGCCCCTTTCCACCTGTCTCTCAGATAAACAGCGCCCTCTCCCTCCCCTCAACCACTGCTATTTTTGGGAGCAGAGTGACAGCTGAGGGGCTGACAGACTGGGACACACAGCAGGTGCCCAGATCCCAGACCAACTGGAGACTTCCAGAAATACCTTTCTGGAGGGAGGGGGAAGGAACAGAGGAAGAAAGTTCCTTCCCTTTTCCACTTCTGTGCAACACCTCAACCCACGCTGCTTCCACGTGTTCCAAATGTCTTTGCTTTTCAGAAAGACCGGCAGGATTTGCTAACTCAGTTTAGTGTGAGTGAGTGGTTCATTAGTTTGGGTCCTCATGTGGTCTCCTGTTCCTCCCCCTGTGTATGGAGTGGATATATTCAGCCTACCTCTCCCATCCAACTGGGAACTCCCAGAGAGTGGGTTTGGTGTGTCCCCCATCAGGCTGAGATCTCTTAGGGCAAGGGCTGGGTCAGACTGCGAATTCCCCTGAGACCAAAGTTCCCCCTACCCAACTGAGAACTCTCCTGGGACACACTGAGGCTCCCTCCTCAGAAGGGGGTCTTCCTGGGACAAGAACTATGTATTCACCATTACAGAGGGGTCTCTCCTGAGGCGGGAATGTTTCTCCTTAGCTAACTGGGAGTTCCTGAAGCAAATTTATGACATTGTCCCTACTTGGACCCAGAACTCTTCTGCCTTTCAGTGCCCCCAAGCCTGGGCTGTGAGCTCCCTCCTGGAAGGTAAATACAGCATCCCATGTAGCTTGTCCCCCAACCCCCTTCCTGCACAGGTTCTGGCACAGTTGGTGTCCAAAGTGTGTTTCCTGAATGGAACGAATGGATGAATGAATGAACGAGTGGTGTCTTCATGCTGATGATTTCCTGCACTCATCTCTCGTCCCTCTCCCCTCCACCCCACACATATCTTCAAACTTACCTGACCAGAGCTGAGAAAGACTGGTCTGAAGAAAATCCCAGGTGGGATCACTTGACACTAGATTCTATTCCCAGACCTGCGACCTTGGACACACAGCTTTGTGACCTTGGACAAGTTCTACTGCCCTGCTGGACCCAAAGCCCAGCCCTAACACATGTTTGTTGAATGAGCAAATAAATGAATGAATAGATGGATGAATTTCCTGCCTTCATGTTACGGCAAGCCCTGGGCCCCGTCGTGGGGCAAGCTCTCTGCAGCAATGAGGTAATAGGATAAGGGATCCTGACATTGGCAGAGACCTGCGGTTCTGTGACTTTAGGTCCAAGGGAACTTATATTCAAATACTGATTCAGAAATTCATTCCACAAGCATTTCTTAACATCTTTTTTGTTGTTGTTGCTGTTGTTTGAGACAGAGTCTTGCTCTGTTGCCCAGGCTGGAGTGCAGTGGCGTGATCTCGACTCACTGCAACCTCCACCTTCCGGGTTCAAGAGATTCTCCTGCCTCAGCCTCATGAGTAGCTGGGATTACAGGCATCCACCACCACGCCTAACTAATTTCTGTATTTTTAGTAGAGATAGGATTTCACCATGTTGGGCAGGCTGCTCTCAAACTCCTGACCTCAAGTGATCTGCCCGCCTTGTCCTCCCAAAGTGCTAGGATTACAGGCGTGAGCCACCATACCTCCTAGTCTCATTTCTTTTTTTTTTTTTTCCTTTTTTTTTTGAGACAGAGTCTTCCTCTGTCACCCAGGCTGGAATGCATGGCACAATCTCGGCTCACTGCAACCTCCACCTCCTGGGTTCAAGCAATTCTCCTGCCTCAGCCTCCCGAGTAGCTGGGATTACAGGCATGTGCCACCACACCCAGCCAATTTTTGTATTTTTAGTAGAGACAGGGTTTCACCATGTTGGGCAGGCTGGTCTCAAACTCCTGACCTTGTGATCTGCCCACCTTGGCCTCCCAAAGTGTTGGGATTACAGGCGTGAGCCAACATACCTCCCAGTCTCATTTCTTTTTTTTTTTTTCCTTTTTCCCTTTTTTTTTTTTTTTTTTTGACGGAGTCTTCCTCTGTCGCCCAGGCTGGAGTGCATGGCACAATCTCAGCTCACTGCAACCTCCACCTCCCGGGTTCAAGCAATTCTCCTGCCTCAGCCTCCCAAGAAGCTGGGACTACAGGTGCGTGCCAGCACGCCCAGCTAATTTTTGTATTTTTAGTAGAGACAGAGTTTCGCCATGTTGGCCAGGCTGGTCTTGAACTCCTGACCTCGTGATCTCTCTGCCTAGGCCTCTCAAAGTGCTGGGATTACAGGCGTGAGCCACCACACCTGGCACGCATTTCTTAAACATTTATTATGTGCGAGGAATTGTGAAGCATAGAACACTCATGAGGGCAAGGATTTGTGTCTATGTTGTTCCCTCACATATTCCAAGCGTTTGTAATGGTGTGGGGCACAGTGGCTCATGCTTGAACCCCAGAGATGGAGGTTGCAGTGAGCCGAGATCTTGGCGACAGAGCAAGATTCCGTCTCAAAAAAGAATAAAAAAAGAAAAAGAAGGTGCTCAATGTTATTTGTTGAATGAATGAAAGAAATGATTCCATGGATCTGTGACTCTGTGATTTCTTTTTTTTTTTTTTTTCGAGACAGGGTCTCACTGTCACAAGTGGGATGCAGTGGCATGATCATGGCTGACTGCAGTCTTGACCCGCCAGGTTAGGTTCAAGCAATTCACCCATCTGAGCCTTCTGAGTAGCTGGGACTACAGGTGCATGCCACCTGGCTATTTTAAAAATTTTTTTGTAGAGACAAGATCTCACTATGTTGTCCAGTCTGGTCTGAAATTCCTGGGCTCAAGTGATACTCCCACTTCAGCCTCCCAAAGTACTGAGATTACAGGCGTGAGCCACTGTGCCCAGCTGGATCTGTGCTTTCTAAATATGAGGGATACCAGGATGTTTTGAAAACATACAACAGGGAAGTATGACATCATTTCAAAGGTTTCCCTGTGTGAGTGATAAATGAGTTAGTATACACAGAACTCCTATAAAAATGTCTGGCAGAGAGTAGATGCTCAATACATTTATTGGATGAATGAATAAATATTCAAGGCAAGACCTAAATAACGAGGAACTGTTCCTGTATTAGTCTGCTCTGGCTGCCATAATAAAATAGCACAGACCAGGAGGCTTCAACAACAGAAATTTATTTTCTCACAGCTCTGGAGTAAAGAAATCCAAGGTCAAGGTACCATAAGGGTTGGTTTCTGATGAGGCCTCTCTTCCTGGATGCAAACAGCCACCTTCTCCCTGTGTCCTCCTGTGGCCTCATCTTTGTGTGTGCTCAGGGAGGCAGTGGGGGTGGGAGGGACAGAGAGAGAGCATTCTGGAGTCTCTTCCTCTTTTCACAAGGGCACCAGTTCTATTTGATTAGGGTCCTACCCATACAAACTCACTTATTAGCCTTTATTATGTCCTTACAGGACCCATCTCCAGGCCAGGCATGGTGGCTCACGCCTGTAATCCCAGCACTTTGGAAGGCCTAAGACAGGAAGATCATTTGAGGCCAAGAGTTCGAGACCAGCTTAGGCAACATAGTGACAGTCTTGTCTCTACAAAAATTTTAAAAAGTTAACCGAGTGTCAGGTACAGTGGCACACACCTGTTGTCCTAGCTACTCAGAACACTGAGGTAAGAAGAGTACTTGAGCCTGGGAGTTTGAAGCTGTGTGAGCTATGATCACACTACTACACTCTAGTCTGGGCAACAGAGTGAGACCCTGTCTCTAAAAAAAAAAAAAAATAATAATAATAATAATAATAGAGCCGATATCCAAATACAGCCACTTTCGGAGTTAGGGCTTCAATATATAAATTAAGGCAGAGGTGTCCAATCTTTTGGCTTTCCTGGGCCACATCGGAAAAAGAATTGCCTTGGGCCACACATAAAATACACCAATGATAGCTGATGAGCTGAAAAAAAAATTGAAAGAAAATCTCATAATGTTTTAAGAAAGCTTACGAATTTGTGTTGGGCTGCATTCAGAGCCGTCCTGGGCTGCATGCAGCCTGTGGGCCAGGGGTTGGATAAGCTTGAATTAAGGGAAGGGCACAATTCACTCCATAACCGTTCCAGACAGAAAAAACTGCACGTGCAAAATCACTGATGCAGGAAGAGCCGTGCCTTGTAAGAACTCAGAAAAAGCCAGCAAGATTTAACCTGAAGAGAGGGGTGGCTGGATGTAGCAAGGCTGAATGGACCATTATAAGGAGTTTTCTTTTTTCCTGCACGTAAGGGAGCCATTGCGGGGTTTGAGGGTGAAGAGCAACAGGCCAGATTTTTTATCTGAAAAGATAAAGATAAGTTCTTTATCTGTAATATAGGGAGAAAAGGGTTACAAGAATTAAATGAGCTATGTGGAAAAAGCACTTAGAACAATTCCTGATTCATTGATGTCATTATCACTGTTATTGCTTTACAGGGTTGATGACTGTAGAAATGGTTTGCTTTTGTACTCAAGTATTAATTGAGTTGATCCATTTTATTTATTTATGTATGTATTTATTTATTTATTTATTTACTTACTTACTGAGACAGAGTCTTGCTCTGTCATCCAGGCTGGAATGCAGTGGTAAGAGTTTGGCTTACTGCAACTTCTGCCACCTGGGTTCAAGCGGATCTACCACCTCAGCCTCTCAAGTAGCTAGGACCATAGGCGCATGCCACCACGACTGGTTAATCTTTTTGTATTTTTAGTAGAGACCTGGTTTCACCATGTTGGCCAGGCTGGTCTCGAACTCCTGGACTCAAGTGATCGGCTCCCCATGGCCTCTCAAAGTGCCGGGATTACAGGCGTGAGCCACCACGCCCAGCCTTAACTTGACCCATTTTTTAAAAGGATACTAATTTCTAGGCCAGGCGTGGTGGCTCACACTTGTAATCCCAGCACCTTGGGATGCTGAGGCTGGGGAGTTGGGGAGTCTCTGCCTGAGTTCAGGAGTTTGAGACCAGCCTGGGCAACGTAGTGAGAACTCGTCTCTAAAAAAATGAAGAAAAATAACCGGGCAGGGTGTCGTGTGCCTGTACTCCAGGCTACTCGGGAGGCTGAGGTGGGAGGATCCCTGGGTCCGAAAGTTCGAGACTGCAGTGAGCCATGATGGCGCCGCTGCCCTCCAGTCTGGGCAAAGGAGTGAAACTTTGTTTCAAAATAAAATAAAATTAAAATGGGACTAGAATCCCTGTTGTGAAGAGTCAAAAGTTGACTGTGTCCTCTAAGACCCTGGGAAAAAATAAATGTGAAGACTGCTGAGGGACGGGAGGAGCACCAGGTAAACCCATTTCTAATCCCTGAGGCCTGCGCAGCGGGACGCTTCTCCTCCCCAACAGCAGAGGGCGATGTGGCCGGCGGCTACCCCGCCCGACCACGGAGATGGCGCTCTGTCTGCCGGACTCTTTCTCCTCCACGTGGGTACGCAGGATGGCGGCGGCAGTGGCGGTGGGTGTGCGTGGATGGGGGCGGGGGGCGTCGCGGCGCTAGGGCCCGGGTCCCTGAGGCCGGAGGGAAACGAAGTGGGGCTCTTCCGGGCGGGCGACGAGACTGACTCCCGCCCCGCTTTCTCGCGCAGGACGAGTCGGTGGCGCGCGATGTGCAGCGGTTGCTAGTGCAGTTCCAGGATGAGGGCGGGCAGCTGCTGGGCTCCCCGTTCGACGTGCCCGTGGACATCACCCCGGACAGGCTGCAGCTCGTGTGCAACGCGCTACTGGCCCAGGTGAGCGGCTGCCAGGGCGGTCTCGCATCTCCACCCCCGGGCGGGTGCAGTGGGGGAATCAGATGACCGAGGGTCTGCGGTTCACGGTCCCCCCGCTAACGGACTGTGGTGACCCACCCGGCGTGAGTTCCCACCTATGTCAGAGATGGAATCTGTGGCAAAACGCTTTACACGCCAACCTTCGGCGTCCACCTGTGGAGACGGGCCTAGCTTTGAACGCATTGGATACTGTATTTCATTGATTCCTTGTCACAGTCCCCCAAGATGGGGCACGTTAATATCTCCATTTTACAGCGTGGCCTGGAGGGACTCAATTATTTGCACGATACTATGTAGTAGGTAGCAGAGTTGGAATTGGAACCCAAAACTATCTGAGTACCCCTGCCTTTTTTGTTCGATCTTTTGACCTCGTGATTCTGCCCGCCTTGGCCTCCAAAGTGGCTGGGGATTACTGGCGTAAGCACCGCGCCAGGCCTTTGCTTTTAAACTTTAAGCCAGTGTGTTTACTGAAGAGCTGCCCTGGGGACAGAAAAGGTCCTTAATAATTGCAGTTTCTGGGACCCGTCCCAGGGCTTACTAAACCAAACTCTAGGATGAAGTAGAAAGTCTACATTTTTTAAAGGCTTTTTGGGTGCTTTTTACAGAAATACAGTGTGGTGTGGTAGTTTGGAAACACTGCATAATGCCTATATGTTAATCCTATCTTGGACCTAAAGAACCTGGAATTTAATCATTGGCAAATGGACCATCGAACAACATTACTTAGTTGTTCTGAGCCTTTGCTTTTGAAAACTGTTCCAGTAGGAATATTTAGTATCTACTTCCCAGGGTTTGTTTATGAAGATTGCCAAGATAAACAGAATTTCAGGCGGGTGCGGTGGCTCATGGCCCATAATCCCCAGCACTTTGGGGAAGCTGAGGTCGCAGATCACTAGAGGTCAGGAGTTCAAGACCAGGGCGTTAGCCCAATATACGAAAAACAGTCTTACTTGAAATATACAAAACTTAGCCGGGCGTGGTGGGGCAGGCCGCTGTATCCCCAGTTCCTCAGGAGAACTGGGAA